GGGGGGGGGTATACCCGTTGCAGTTGGTGTAAATCCATCAGAATTTCCTGTTGTCGGAAGCTAGAAGCGGCTCGAATTTGTTCTCTAAAAAAACGAAACTCGAAAGCGGCGAAACAGATCCCGTGCCTTGACGCTTGAGTCCATTTTAGGCTGAACGTACATATTCTTGCAGAGTGGTGTACACATGATAACAGATAATTGACCCAACCTTAAAAAATAGTCAAGTGTCAGTAAAAATAATAAAATATTGTAATTGTATGAAGTACAAACCAGATGGACGGACATGCCTCCAAATAATCTATTGGGATCATATAGCTCCCGAAGCCGTTGATCAATATGAACCAAGAGTTCTGCACCGACCATTGAGACTTCATCAATCACAACAAAACCGACTTTATCATGAAAGCGCTGCTTTAATTTTTCTCGTTCGTTTGGAGTGAGCGCGTGTTGGGATTTTCTTTTGCTGTTGAGCATAAATGTTGAGTGGACGGTTTGACCTCCTGGAAGCAAGCAAGCTCCAGCTCCAGTTGGGCACGTAACAACCACATCAATACCGCGAGCAAATAGTTCAGCTTGTATTTGACGAATGACAAATGACTTGCCCGTTCCTCCACCACCGTGAAGCATCGTCAGAGATTGCTGTCGATGAGAGATTCGACGTTCGACACAACTTCTTGAATAGCTGCAAACTGCTCATGAGTTACCGGGGCTGGGGGTAGGAACATGCGACTTGTAGAGAGGGGTACGAATTCAGCTGTGCCTCGTGTACTCGGAGATACATGCCCCAAATCACCTCAGCTTTCTTGTATGAGTTGAGGTAGATTATGAATTCTTGAAGCTACGTCTCGCAACGTCGTGGTTGGGGGCAAGCACTCTCCATCCGGATGCGCCAATTGAGAATTTCCAAAGTAAATTCTTTTACTGGTTTCAATGTATCCGCATGTGTTATTGGGTGAAATGCTTACTCCCCCAGCAGGAAATACCGTCTCCACAATCCAGGGTGGCAACATTTCAAAATCGAAGACGCATCCCTTGAACTAATTCTTGAGCATCCTTTTTGTGGCGGATAGTCAAGTTAATCAGTTGGAATACATCTTCACTCACCGCAAACATTCCGTGCATCTCCATATCGATAGTAGGAGAGTTATTCGTCGACGAAGTTGATAGCATTTCCGGTCGCGCGATGTTAAAGCAACTTGGTGATTTCCAACGATCTGCGTTTCGAGAGCGCCAATATGAGTACGTTCGGCCACTGCTTGAGCTCCGATGACCTCGTTTAAGTATATTAGCAAAGCTTCGATGTCGCTGACGTTGCAGGAACGTTGCTGCATGGTTATCCCACAACTGGCATAGGTTTTGAAGCCCAGTAGTCGAGAGCTCAAATTCTGGAGTGTTCGTTGGTGACGTCCAAGGAGTAAACGTAGCCAGTAGCAACCTGTAGTAGGGTAGGCATAGGATAAGATAACAGTATTACGCACTGATATATGGTACAGCGTACCTGGCCAGGTTGTTCATCTTTGTTTTGTACGCCCGTGTTGCCGTGTAACTTGGAAGTGGTGCACCACCAAGCATCGGTGTTTTAAACTTCGCCCGAATACAACCTTCATAATGTGGGTAC